ATAGATAAGATCCCACAACCTAGATGCATCCTAATATCATCACACTACTTAAATTGGATCATCATCATCGTGTTGGAGCATGTGATCTATCCTATTATCTTATCGTAATCATCATACTGTGGGTGGTGGATGGGAATGACGATGATGAGAGGGATCTTGAGATGATGATAGTGTTTGGGTTCTCCGTGGTGTTATTGTGTTATTACCTTGATGATAATGATATACTATAGAAATAGTGCTTATAAGGCGCATATGGCAACAACCCCTACAACAACGACTACGATGATGACAGCCAGTAGATACGCTAAAGGAAAGATAGCAGGAATAACCCCTACTAGTAGTGACGACATCATCATCGTCGTTCATCCAGTCTTACTGTTGGTAACATAATCAAACCTTACGCTATCATCATCATCATTATAGTCACATGTCTCTTAGGTTAAATATATTATCACACCCAAGTATCATCATCATGATGTTGATGGTGATAGTAGTCAAGCATCAGAATATAGCATGAATATGTTACGTAGACTGTTGATACTTGATAAGGGTATTAGTCCTCATCATCATCATGATGCAGCGACGGGACGGCCGCGGCAGCCATTATTGACAATATGTGGTGTATCGATATACACACAACATGTGGAGGCAGCATTGGCTATCATATCAACAACAACAAATGGTAATGAGAAGAAGAGGAAGAATTGGGATATCATTGATAATAACGAGAAGAAGGAGGAACAAAGGGGAAGTGAGGAGGAAGAGGAGGAGGAAGGGGCTGTTAACAACAACAAAAGACTAAGGACTACTCTATCTACTAATGATAATGAGAGTGGTCATTATCATCCTCATAGTCATACCACTCTACCCACCAATGATAATGAGAGTGGTCATCATCATCCTCATAGTCATACCACTCTACCCACCAATGATAATGAGTGTGGTCATCATCATCACACTACTTCATCGAGTCGTCCTGATGATGTCCCTATTACGGATAAGGAATCACTGTTAAAGATGGGTAGAAGATCATTGAGTATATCATCAGTAATGAAGTCAACCTCATCCTCATCATCCTTATTCTTATAACCTTAGGCGAGAAGACTATGTCATGATATTGGTATTGATAGTAATATGATGATAGAGAAGTCGGAGTTTGTATCAGCAGTAGTAGATGCACTGTGGGATATGGATGATAAAGGGTCATAGCATCATCATCATCGTCATTAGCAACAACAACTAGAGTATAATAATGATGATGATTGTGAATATCAGATTGTATTGGTTATTATCATCATACGGCAGTGAGTGGAAGAATACATGTATAACTCGTAATGAATTATTGAAGCAGCTCATTTGTGGTAGTAGTAGTAGCAGCCTCAATCGCACCCAATATAATAATAATAAAGGTAGTATTATTCATATCACGGCTACTACTACTACTACTATCATGAATATCATAACAGGATGGTATGATGATGGATGGTAGTGATGGTGGTGATATTGGTAATTCATCGTTATTACTCTGCCGTTATCTATATTGACATCATCAACACAACTAATTCATCTTGCTAAGACACGTCCATTCCTCTTATTCGCCTTGAGAGATAATCTTTATCATACGGAAGGGGATTATCATGACACGTGCAATAATAATCATCATGATTATCCAACTATCGAAAGTAGTAAAAGTAGTGGTACCCATCTTCATCATTACCTTCACTCTCGAGCGATGGTAGTTGTTATTATCATCATCAGATTTGGGTAAATCATTCATGAAATTACTGAGATTCGTAGATGATGATGATGTGAAGCAAGCAATAAGGGAAGCTAAGCGTCATGTAGTCAGGGCAGCATATACTCGAGGATGTTAGATTAGATAATCATTAGGTGGAAACTGAGATCAAATTAATGATGAATCGGAAGAAGAATGCAGCATCATCCAGTAGGAGGGAGAAAGAAAGAGAGGGAAGGGAATGGGGAGAGAAGAGGGCCCCATCATCATCATCAGCTACTACTATGAATGATGTTATCGATTTGGATTGTGATTTCGGCAAGATCATACAACAAGCATTATATAATACACAATGCCCATTCAAGACTCTCGGATTGGATCCCAGGAATACAATTATAACAGGTATTATCAATTATTACACTCACATTTTATCCATTATTATGATAGTAGCAGATGTAAAGAAGAGATGGGCTAAACTCATACTTACACTACATCCTGATAAAGTACCATTCAACTGGAAGGGGGATAAGAGTAATATCATGCTATTACTAGGAGAGGCTGTACAGAAGGTTAATGAGGCTAAGAAGAAGGTGATTATTATCATCATCATGGTGGTGGTGGTATTGTGACTAGGACTTATGATTATTAATGTAGTGTGAAGAGGCACTAAGTGCTACCAACATCAGAAGGCCTCTTCCACCAATAACAAGAAGAAGAGGAGTAGGAGACAATCATGACATTTACACAGTGTCCGAGAGTAAGACTGGAAGGAGGACCATAGAGGTAATAGCCTCCTACTCCTGCTCCTGCTGTTCCTGCTCCTGCTGTTCCTGCTCCTGCTGTTGTTGTTGCTGTTGGTCGTCAGTAATAGGAGGTAGTAGTGTTAGTGATGTAGATACATTGGATAGCAGGAGGGGATGACAATAATTATGGTAATGCATCATCATCATCATCATCATCATCAGAAGCAGCAGCAGCAGCAGCATCTCAACGTAAGATTGATACATATCATATATTTCTCCAAAGACCTGACAAGAATGATAGGTATTATAATCTAATAATATGATGATGATCATTATTATTATTATCAGATATTCAGTCGGTACTGTTAAAGATAGTAGTGATCCATGGGTTGTTATATCAGAGGATGATGCCAGGTATTATTATTATCATCACCACCATGCTATTATTAATATCATCATCATCATAATCCTTGTATATAGGTTCACTAACTTCTTCCTATACGATAAGATTATTGTATATATAACAGCGTACAATGCAGCTGGACATTCGGAACCTCTCACTATTGAGGTTCCACTCTCAATTAATGGTATTAAATTCCCCTATACAACAACATCAACAACAACAAAGAAAAGTCCGCATGTAAATGGAGGAGGAGAAGGAGGGAGCAGAAATCCTGCTGCTCCTGCTGATAGTAATGTGAAGCCTTATATGACATATCTTAATGAGATCGTATCATCATTATACTTATCCCGTAATGATATAACATCATTAAGAATAAGGTTAGGAAGACTGAGAGTTGATGATCTGAAGGCTATTATCAGGTAGTAGTATTATATTTATGAGCATATGTTTATGATCCTACTACTACTAC